CTAACTTTGTGTCTCCTCTCTTCTGTAGTGTGTCCTCTCTCTCTCCCTTTACCTTTCTGCAGGTTGCCCTGGCCCGGTGGAGCTCTACATCTCTGACAAGCAGTCAACATCCACATTGACCAGATCAGTGTTTGATTGTTTGTTGCTTTTCTTCTTTTGTCTCTCCTCTATCCACTCACCCCAACCGGTCAAGGCAGAAGGCCACCCACCAAGAGCCGGGGTCTGTTGGAGGCTTCTTCTGTTAAAGGGAGTTTTTCCTCCCCACTGTCGCCAAGTGCTTGCTCAAGGGGGATTTGTTGGGTTTTCCCTATGTAATAATAGTGATAACAGTAAGGTCTAGACCTTACTTTGTAAAGTGTCCTGAGATGACTTTTGTTGTGATTTGGCGCTATACAAATAAAATTTGATTTGATTTGATTTTGATTTGAACTGGATGATCTTTGATAGTTTTGTCTATAGATCATTTTTCCTTGTGAAGGCTTGAATCATGGCCAAAAGGGAAAAAAGGGGAACAAACGATTGCCCAATCTGCCACCGCCCTACCCAGAGCCAGCTGAGAGCCAGATTGCATGAGAAAAATCTTTGTTGTTCAGATCAAGAGCTTAGCTCAACCATAATAATTTTAACCAGTACAATATTTTAGAGTGATGTTTAGAGATAGCATTTGTTGATTTATTTAGACTGTAAGAAAATCAAGACAATTATTGATTATTTTAAGGTTTATATTTTATTGCTTGTTGCTTTGCTGTAGCTCTGTTAAGCTTCTATATAAAATTCCTGAAAAGGTTTAATACTCTGTGGTTATTGAGTCAAGTTTGATGTTTTTGACATTCCTATGAGTTTGCACTTTTAAGTGGTAATGGTTAAGGCACACAGTTCTCAGTGTTTGGTTACCCAATTCCCGGTGAGTGTGATTGCCTAAGTCTTAGTGAGTGTGTGAGGTTGTGTAACAGTTTACAGGGTTGAGACAAGGCCAAGATTAAACTGATAAAATGTTTTTAGATAGTTACATCAGAAAAAGGTTTATCTAAAAATATCCAACTGTTTACTTGTTACATAATATACACTATTCCTTAAATATTGTATCCTTAATAACATCTTATATCAACTAAATACTGTGCAAAACAAATATGGTCTTAAGTGGCCAGTGACACAGCGTTCATTGATTATTTCAGACAAAATTTAACACTTCCTCAAAGGGCCAGAGTATACTGGTTTATAAAAGTTTCTCAGTACAGTAACATCTGAGGGTTTAAGG